AATAAAATAGATATAATAGATATATAAATAAATCTAAATAAATTAAATATTTATCAAGTACTAAATAAAATAGATATACACATATAATTATAAAAAAATTTGATGTACAAATCATTATAAGGATGTAAGAAATGAATGCTACATTGGCAAACCTTCTACAGTAAAAGCTCTACTAAAGGGACACTCTCAAAAGCACACATATCTTTTAAACGTGCACTGTTGTTAGTCATAGACGAGTAACAGTTAAGAACGCCATTATGTCCTTTGGAGAGATATTGCATTAGTAGCATTAGTAGCTTCCTAGTTCTGGCTTTTGATCGATTTGACATGGATTCTTTAGCTTGACTGCAGGCAATTGTATTACCTCAATCAGTCTGAACTGCTCTTTCTAGCCACTCATTAATTTTAAATTTGAAAAAGCTCAATGAAGGTCCACAGAATTTTTGTGGTCTAATATAATATGAGGCCGCCCTTTTCTGACTAGTTCCTCGGCTTTCTCGTTTCCCTCAAACCCGCTGTACTCTGGGATCCATATTAAGTGAAACCTGTTCTTTTCAGCAAGGTCTTTGAGAAATTGTCCCTAAGACATAGTTCAATTGCGTGTACTTCGGCCTGAAAAACTTTGTTTTTGACTCTCATACTTTTTCTAGTAATTTAATTGTTTAAATACATTAACAAAAACAAGAATATCACTTATTCCGCTTATTCTATCAAACCTTTTTTTCTATCAAACCTATGAAACCTTTAAATTAACAATATACTCGTATATATATTTATGGTATATCTGTAAAGTTATTATTATAGATGCTCTGTTTTCCTGTGACTATTTGAAGAACCCGTGATAAAAATTTTTAAGATTTTATTATCATACATAATATTTACTTTAAACCATTTTTATTGCCAATGTTCCAGCTTTTAGCTTATAAGAAAAAATGAATAAAAAAGCTAAATAAATACAGTTAATTATTATTTAACAATAGAAATCAAGATAAATAAAAAATATATAATTTTGGAAATTTTATTAAAATATTTATTAAATTTTATACAAATATTAAGCCAATTAAACTCCTTTCAGTTGGACAAATGTTGACTTTAAAACACACTCCTATTAAAAATCAATCCTCTTTATTCGTATTTACGTCGATACTGACTCTCTTAGCGCAAAACTTCTCTTACTTTATTTCTGAGTAGATAAGAAAGAAGGCTATTTTAAACAGTCTTACCAGCTGTGTTGGCTTTGCTAGAAATTAACGTCAATCAACAAAATCAACATATTTGAAACGAGTAGTAGTTAAGAGAACGTATGAATGTGGGTTTTTTTTTATCAGATTGGCCAGAGGAACACGGTTTACGCAAACTAAAAAAAGTTTATACAATTTATTTTGGAAGTGATTGACAAAATAAAATTTCTCTAATAATAAAATGATAATAGTAATATGGGTTTTTATATAATAACAGTGTGGGTTTTTGCAATCATATAATTAATAATCAATGTTATAAACAATAAAAGAGTTTTAAAAAATGCAATGGTATATATGACTTAAGAATCTATATTCTACCAGGGAAAAAGACGTATATAAACAGAAATATATAACATATACATGACCGATATATATGGCGCACAATTAAAGATACTATATTTAAAGATATTTTGTTTGAGTTCAGTTGAGTTAAGAAGTATTTTGGAAAGTGTCTTTAGGCCGTATAGGAGTTCGAGTAAATTGATGTAAAGTAAATTTAAATTTCCTAGGGATTTTTTGCACTGCACCTATGCAAATATTTATTTATTTAATTATTGCACTTTTTTTTTGCCGGGCTTTAGGCCGTGATTTTAAAATTTATATTTTTATATAATAACTTGTATTTTATAAAAAACAAACTTTAGATTAAATAAAATATCACAAAGTTTAATTTATGTAATATATTATTTTATTAACAAATATTCCGGTCTACTTCGTTGACCATCTTCAGTGTTATTAAAATTATACAAATACAATTATATATAAAAAATTTGTTAATAAAATAATATATTACATAAATTAATCTTTGTGATATATTATTTAATCCAAAGTTTGTTTTTTATAAAATACAAGTTATTATATAAAAATATAAATTTTAAAACCACAACCTTATGCCGGGCAAAAAATTTTAAACATAAACATTGAGGTCGACACCAATACGAACTATTTATTATTTTTAATTAAAAGTTTTCAATTTTATTTATTTATTTATTAAACATCTTATAATATTTTCACAATGGTAACACCTTATTTACTTAATTTTTATCTAATTTATCCTACTCGAAATTCTGGTAAATACCAACATTCGCTGCCATATCGATATTATTTACTATTTCCCTTAATTTACCATTAATTTACTCGTACTATTTGTTTGTTGAAAGCTATGAAGATAGATAAACTATCAAGCTTCCAGTTTATTTGTTTTTGCATTAATTAATTGCTGTTTCAATTTTAAAAATAATAATTAGTTGCAAAAAGACAAGTATTTTGCAATGTCACCGATCTCTTATATAATATTATCAATTCTATTATTATCTATAATATATAATTCTATAATTTGTACTTATTTTTTTTTATCTATTAGCTATATTGTATTATCTATTAATTACTATTAGTTATCTCTTATTTATTATATTATTATCTTACTAATATCTATAATCAGTTCTATTTGAAAATGATGTGAGTACTGAAATTAGTTAGTTATTAATATTATTTATTAAATTTCTGCCATTATCGCTTGAAAAGTACAACGCAAAAATATCCCTAAAAGTAAAACTTTTCTAATTTTCTTATACGTGTAGACAGATTTTTGCATATTTCATTAAACTTAGTCTATTAAATTAATTTACTTAATAAATTCTTTTTTATATCTTATTATGTAAAATAAAAAATTAAAACCTTTCTTATTATTTATTTTATTATTTACTGGCACCCATATTTACAAACCACGCATACATAGATTTCCACAATAGTAAAAATAATAACAGTAATAATAGTGATTTGCTTACTACTTCTTAAAGTAATTTGATATTTATTTACATTTATGCTTACCTATATTACTTAAATAATAAAAAGTAGTATTAAACCTACTTTACAGAGTTTTATTGCCTCTTCCGTAAGAATTTAAATTTCCAGGAGCCTATTCCGTATATGCATTAGCGCAGGGCATTCTAACAGCACATGTTTGGCCGACTCCACATTCTTTTCACGACTCCTCCTAACGCGGTATGAAATTAAATATACACAATGGATCCAACGTTAATATTAAAGAAATTCTACTGCTGACATTTTAAGAAGAACGGGAAAATGTATCTTTCTATACCTATGTCTATGTCTATGTTTGTGATTTACATAATAGCACAAAATAAAAATAAAATAAAAACGATTTAAACATTTTGATTTCAATGTCCAGCTTATACAAAATTGGTAAAACGTTCAATTAAATTTTTTATATAAAAATGCTAAACTTGTTAATTTAAAATTTTATTGTCTTATACTAACAATTGTTTTGGGGTGTATTAGGTTATTAGTATAAAAATCCAAACACAAACTAAAACCTCACAAACGAAGCGATTGTAGAATAAAGTCAAACACAAAGTTTCAGTCGATATTGAACGTGGGTCGGAGTTAGTTGTGCAGAAGACGGGAACTTGTGGTGAAAAAAGAATTGACCGCCTGTGGCACGCTAATCGGCAGAAAAATATCAAAATAATACCAATAAAACTTAATCAAAACATAGTGTGCGTTAAAAATTAAAAATAATTGTGTACATTTAATCAAAAATAATTTAATACTAAGATTTATGATTTTTAAACGAAAATTTAATAATTTTTAATGTTAAACCTTGAAGAAAATTGTTTTTTTTTGTTGTTTTTTAAAAGAATATCTAAAACCCAAATTAAAAAGTGAAATAAATAATTACAAAAAATTTGTGCTCCGAATTGAATTTTTAACAAATTCATTCATAACAGTAAATTGTGTATATAAATTTGTATATAAACAAATTTAGCGATTTATTTTAATTTATTATTTGCTTTTTTTGTTGAAATTCTGATGATGCATAAGTGAGAGATGATGATAGCGGCTTCAATGTAACGGTTTGAAAACGGATCGTGAAATCATTTAAAACGTTCACCAAAAAACAAAAACAAAAAAAAAACAAAAGAATACTTAACCTGCTTTGACTTTTGATTATTTGTGGTTTAATAAGAATTTTTCATTTTAACATTGAAAAAATTAAATTTGTTTAAAATTTAACAAGAAATTAAGGTGGTAAGCGTTAGCTAAGAAAAACCCAGCAACTGTGAAAGAAAAGACCCATCCCAAGTTTATTTCTTAAGTGCAAGAAGTGTTTAGCGATCATTAGCCTTGCAAAATGGATTATATCGTTAAAGCTTATAAAGACTGGAAACTACACTCTCAGGTAAGGAAACGATAACTTAGTCAACAAAAAAAAAAAACCACAGAAAAACTTTACCAATAAAGAATATTGTTTAAAATAAAAATCAAATAAAGATTTACCGATCCGAGAAAAATGAATATTTAAAAGTGGTTTTATATTACAAATGGGGGAAAAAAAATAAATATTTAAAATAAAAATAATATAGCAAATGGCAACAAAAAATATAAAGAATTGTACAAAGTTGCACAAAATCTTGATGTTTTGCTGATGACTAACTTGGCTTGCAATACTAACGCCAGGTTACTAGACATACTAACGTCTAAAACTGGCTTAAATATTTTTTGTTTTTGTTTTTGTTTTTGCAATTATTAATTTTTATAAAAATAACTCAAGACAATGTTAAAACTTCTACAATAACAACAACAATGACGACAACTGATGTTAAGAAATATGGCGGTTTCTGCTTGCTAATTGCTAGCCTGTCTTAACTTAACCCCAAACCAACTATCGCAATATTAAAACAAAAGTCTGTCGGGTCGCGGGTACTAGTACGAGTATCTTAAGCTTGGTTTCTTTTTTAATGGAATGTGTGAAAAATGTATAAAAAGGGAAATAATACAATAGTATATAAAGAAAAATGAAGAAAATAAACATACAGTAAATGCTCGATAGTTTATATCGATATTAGAATAATAATTTCTCATAAAATAAATATGGCTTCTTTTTCCAATACTAAAACTAAAACAAAAATAGCTTTAGTTATACTGGTAGTTATTACATATGGGTAATATCTGACTTTCCATACATAATTAATAAATCTTGTAATTAGAAATTACAGTGAAAACTGACGAACACATTTGCTGAACAGCTACAGTTGGACCGGCAGTTATTACACATAGGTAATATCTGACTATCCATACATAATTAAGTAATATTGTAGTTAGAAAATACAGTGAAAATTAACAAACATATTTACTGAACGGAAAATTCTCTGGGGTGGACAATTTTTTTGAAACCAAATTTTGTTTTTGTCAGTATTTAACCTCTTTTGGCCAGATTCCCCTTTAAAATGGCCGGCAATTGTCGGACAAGGACTGTCATGAAAATCGTTACTGTATAATTTTAAATGGTTTATAATTATATAATATAAAATAGTTTATAATGAAATAATTAGTTAATTGAATGTACTATAACAGCTAACTCTCAGCAATCAACTTTAAATTGTTTCTTGATTATTGCCAAGAATATTGGTATCAAATCTTACTCGCCCTATTATTGTCCATTTACTGCTATTTGGTTTTGGACCAGTGCTTAAGCTGCCTAAAAATTGTTGATGCTATTACTAGATCACTCTCTCATTAATTAAATGAAAACTAAATACATAAAAAGGTAAACTTCAATAGTCCTAATAATCTATGATACAGTAAGTGAATAATGTATGGTTTAATAACAATTCCGTCTTCTAGAAGTTCTCTAAAAATGTCATATATATTTTTAAGATTTAAACTAAATTGATGATTAGTAGACATACAGCAAGACTAACATTACAAATTATATACGCTTTCTTCCTCGTCCTGGCGTCTAAACCTGCCATATTTAGCCTCTTGTCCCAATTAAAAAATGCGCTGTTTTATTCCTCTAAGTACAGAAATATTAATAGTATTTCTTTTGTATTCTTTCATAAGATTTGTGGACAAATAACTCGTTTTTTAGTTGATGACCTAAAAACAAGGCTAATCCTTATTATCTCTCATAAATATGTATGAATATACCTTTTTATTATTTCTGAAAGAAATGGATTCTAAAAAAGTTATCTGCAACTTTTTAACTTTACAAAATTTTTGGAATAACCTTTTTCTTACAATGACAAAATTTATTTCTCTCAAAAAAGTCCTCTAAAATAGTTTTCTGTCTCAAGCATAGTTAATTTGCTATAAAATCATTTATAATTATAAAATTGTTATAATAAATATAATTAGTTTTGAATTTCTTGATATGGATAAGATACCTATATGACCTCCAACGAAAAACTGTACTGGTTGTCATATCAACAACCAGTACAGTTAGAAACTGCGAGTGAATGGAACATACGCTCCATAGAGAATATAATGAAATACCACGTGTTACATGTATCGAACCCACAGCGGACTAGGTGCAGTAGAAAATCTGGTACAACTGTTAACTGGTATAACATAGGCTCCATAGAGAATCTGATATAACTGTTGAGATGCAAACTGACAAATCGTTTAATGGTTTAGAAAAACTAGCTAGAAATAGAAACGGCTGTAAACAATTTGAACAACTCAGTACCTTAAACAAACTTAGCTTTTTTAAGTTGGTAACTTAATTAAAAGAAATATTCTACCAATAGTGACAAGCTTAAAAATGACAATTACTGTTATTGCATTACTGTTAAGACGGATACTGACAAATTATTTAATGGTCTAAAGAATCTAGACAAAGGTGATGGAACATAGTAAAAAGAAATATTCTACCATTAATGATTACCTTAAGATGGACCAAGAGCTACCAAGAGAGGCTAGAATTAATTTACTATTGCAATAAGGATTTCTTCAGAAATAAAGAATAATATAATACTTAGCAAAACAGCAAGTATTATTCGGGATGTAATTGACAAATATAAAGTCTATAATATGTCATTGTAAACCTGGGTGATCCGTGTTATAGACAAATTTCTGATATTTGTATAAACTTGTATTGTGATGTATGTAATATAATAAATCACTTAAATAGAAACTATAATTGTGAGCCTGGATGATCCGTGTTATAGACAAATTGCTAATGTTTATATTGTGATGTATGTAATATAATAAATCCCCAAAAGAGAAATTAAAATTGTCATTATATTATCTTTGTAACGAGTATAATTATACTTGGAAATACAATGAATAAGGAATACATTATGTATTAAACTCACTTCCTACACACTTTTTAATTTAACTAAATTTTAGAGTAATCAAATAATCGAGTCCGCACTGTCATAACCAGAAGCAGTTCATTGTATTCTATGAATTATAAATACTAAGTATCGTGTTGCCGAGTGTGGGGAATTCATTCAATTTTTTCTCTGTTTATATGCACACAATAATATCATTTTTTTATTTTTTACACCTTTTTTTTAGTCATATATTTTTTTTTTTTTTTTGTAATATTTCATATGCTGGCAGTTGTGTAGCCTTTGCTTGCTTGTTCTTGCGCTTATGAGAGGTTGTCGCTGTTTTAGTTGTTGATAGTAACTAATCACTAATTAAAAAGAAAAAAATTACTACCGTCAGCAGCAAAAGCAGTAAAAACAACAACAAACAACAACAACAAAAGGCAAAACTAAAACTAAAAACCTGTTGAAGTAATCAACAAATTGTAATTTTGAATTTATCAATATTTGTACGCAAACATGGTGCGCTCAAGCAATTGCACTCGTTCCAACTGAAAACTATTTACCATAAACACTCATATGAAAAAAACTCATTACTTTTATTTTTATTTAATGTGATTTCCATTTGCGCATGAGAAAAGTAATTTGTATGTTTTAGTCATTAATTAAAAGTAGCCTTTAAAATATTAGTAAGAAAAAAACTTTTTAATTAACTTGGTAAACCGATTAAGTTCTAGTGAACCAACCTAATTTGTGGGTAGCTTGAAGTGAAGGGAAATCCACTAATTTTTGTAAAATATTTTACCAAAGTATCAGGGGAATATAAAAATCAATCATTTTTATAACATATAATTACGTGATTAATATCTTCTGAATTGGAATGTACAACATAAAAATTTGTATTACTCATATATGTTACGACTGAGACTAAACAAAGTTATAGAAAAAATAATTTTTAATTTGTTTACATTTGCTTACTTAGTTACTTAGATGGCAATAAGTCCTCCTTAGCCATGTCCAGTAGTCTCCGTTAGCCAGCCCGATCAATTAGTTGTTGTCGGCAGTAGATAGTACCGAGTACCTTCATAGCGCTGGTCAGCTAGTTCTTCCAGACTACCTCTACCACGTTTTTTACCTACGGGTACTGAATCAAACACTTTTTTAGTCGAAGTATTATCTTCCATTCCCACAACATGGCCAAGCCAGCGAAACCATTGAATTTGTTTATTTAGAAAGATTATCACCATATTGAAACGTTTTCTGTGATGATGTCTGTGAGTAATCCTAAATTCTAATATAAACACAATAAATTAATTCTGCTGTTATTATTAATTTTATTTTTGTATTTGAATTAGATGATCAGTAGCTTCCATTTATTTTAGTTAAAATTTTCTTTAGGCTACTCTGGTCTTATTACTAGGATGCAAATAAAATTCCAATTCCATTTATTTTCTTTGACCAATTTATATACAATATCTAAACATTGTATATATTTGCTGTAATGACACTACGATCCATTGTTATCATTACGAATATATAGATGGTTGTTATTATTGTTTTTATGTTTGTTTATATATTATGTACACTTGAAATTGAATATCAAAGTAAATTGAAAGGTATATTTATTATTCTTTAATTTAATTGTTTTAATAAAAAAATGCAATGTATTGTTTACAAATTTTATAATTTGAATTCAGCAATTAAAATATGAATAAAATATAAAATTATAATAAAAAAAATACAATAAAAATGTTATCCAATGTGTGGTTCGAACTGTGGACCTTAGTAAACAGGTAACCTCAAGACAACATTATAAGACATTATAAGATTTTGCTAACGAAATCTTATCTTATATTACATCGAAGTACAAAAACTTTAGAGTTTTGCGAATTTTATTTTATATAATTAAATTATATATAGATGTAAGTCAGTCTATTTTGCATTGAAGACATTTTCAAGATATGCCTTAATTACAATTATAAAATTAAAATGACAACTTTTTTCTTCTATCGAAAGAATTCTAGAGCAACGAGGATTTTACCTTGTATTTTTAGATTGTGTTTACCAAATAATTAGAGATATATTCTTACTTACTTACTTAGTTGACCATTACAGACGTGAGTCG